TTATTTTAATATATTACATATAATGTAAGATTATAATTTATTAGATTATCTGTAAATTAGTTATATAATAATAGCATAATTTGTATTTAATATTAATGTATTAAAGGTATTTGAATAAAAAACAATTGTGTCAAATATAGTATTAATTTTTTTTTGTTTAATGTCAATAGTGTTCTATGTATATAATGAGTAAAATAAAAAAAATTCACAAACTGTTTTGTCTTTTATTACAAATATTTCATTATAAATTTCATAAAAAAAATTTAACTACTATTTTTTTTAGTTTAATATATAGTACAAATACTGTATTTATTTTTGACGTTTATAAGTTTCCAATAATTGCAATCATTGAATCAATTAATATATTTTAAAAATCAAAATTATGACAATTATATAACTTTTTTGCTTTAAATTTAAAAAAGTTGTTCTGCAGTATTATAGTTCGTATTAAATTTCTATTAAATTTCTATCAAATTATTCAAATTAAAAATAACTTTTATAATTAAAATAATAATAATAAACATTGAATAACATTATATAGAGGTGTTCCTATTCAATATAAAATATTATGATTATTTGGCACATTAATATAAAATAAAATAATTTTTTATATAAATATTTAATTATACAAATTAATACCTGCAATAAATGATGATTGCATAAAAAATAAAAATATGTTAAAACAAATATATAGACATTCAAAAAATATTATATAATAGCTATAATGATACTAAAGTAAAATGTGTTGATATTATTTTTTGCAATTTTTCAAATGTTTTTGATAGCATACCTATTGATAAATTATTAGATAAATTATATAATATAAGTACTAATGAAAAATATTTATAAATTAATAGCAAATAGTTTTTCTAAATTGACAATCATATGTACGATTTAATGATACATCATCAATGTGTATTAATGTTAATTTAAGTATTGATAAAAGTTTTATAATGTCAACAATTTTTTAAATAATATAAATGCATCTAATATTATATATTATATAACTTGTGTTTTCAAATTCATTGATAATATAGTTTTAATGAATGTTAATTATGATGATAATGGTTATACAGTATATAGTTTTACAATGTAATTTTAATAATTTTAATAATTATTGTAAAAATATAAGTTTAACTTTAAATACTACCAAAATTAAATATATGATATTTATTAAATGTAAAAATATCAAAGATTAATATATTATAGAAAATCTGATATCATTTTGGTATTTGTTAAATATTTGTTATCGTCCGGAAAATTGGAGGGAATTAATTTGGGAACTTCCCTCTCCTGGAAAGTTGTCCGAACTTTAGTAATAAGTCAATAATCACTAAATAACATTATCACAAATTTTTTTTAAAACATAATAAAATGTAATGTAAAAAAATTATAAGACATATTCTTTCAATTTTAAAATACTTTCCAATTTTCAAAATTAAATATTCAAAAACATGTTTTGTAACAAATAATGTATTAATTTTATAAATCTAATAAATTTATTGATTCAATACAAACTATTAAGACTATTAAATACACTAAAAATTAGAGCAAAATATTAAAATAAAAATTATTAAATATCAGAACATTTGTTTATTTATTTTAGATTTTATAATACATTACGTAATATTTATTTATAAATAAAATATTAACAAATTTGATAATTTATATAATTTTCTTAATATTTATGAAAAAATTGTAGTAATTCATTTGTAAAAAAATTAATATAATTATATTTGATTGCAATAATTCCCATGAAATAAATATTTTAAATGATTAATAAAGTTTATTATTATTATAAAAAATGTGTTTGATTTTTATAATTAAAAATTGTATATTTTTTTATAAAGTTTTAACATTTTATTATTTAGTGTTTACAAATTATGTACCGTATTTTTAACAACTTAAATTTAGATAAAGTTCAATAACAATATAATTTTAGTGTTTATATTAAATAATAACTTATTTATGTAAAATAAATTACACACAAGTAATTGTTTGCGTGACAAACACAAACAAATCAATATACAGTACTTTAACATATATGTGTTATATATATTTAAATATACCATAATTTGTAAATTTAAAATAGTAGAAAATACCAATAAATACATAATCTATTATATATAAACTTATAACAAATAAAACAAAAAAAAATAACAATATGTAAAAATAATAAACCATGCAAAATATATACATCAAAATTTTATTTTATAAAACTATTTTATAAAATTGCTTATAGTAAGAAAAAATTGTAAATAAAATAAAAAAATTAAGATTATAAATCTTTCAACAAATATTATTATAAATCTCATGAAATCTAAAAAATAATAGAGTATTTAATTGAATGCATTTTGTATACAAAAAAAAATTATTTCAAATAATTCACAGATTTTGTTTAAATATATGAAAACATTATATAAAAATAAAAGCAACAAAAATACTGTAATATAATTTCATAGATCTTTAGCCTACTAAACCAAAATTATTTTATTTAATTTTTTTTTGTAACTATAATAAGAAATCTAGATTAAACTAGATATACTTAATTATAATATATTGTATAAAATAAAATAATAAAATGAATGTGTATTTATTGATATTTTAGTTTTTAAAAATATTAAAAAATTTTTATTATTATTATAACGTCTGATGAAAATTGTTTACTTTAGATCACATAAATGATTGAATATTAGGTGCATCCGGTCAAATAACATGGCTTATAATGAGTTAAATTTATTACATCAAGTGAATAACATCACAATCATTTGGGTCAATGATTATCTTACAAAATAAATAATAGGAAAATAAATTTAGTAATTGTTTTTTACTATCAAATTTTCAATCAATCAATATTACGCATATGTTTTGTGTAAATAGTAACTATTTAAAATTTTTATAAATATCATAACCAAAAGATAATTTTCATAGTAAGCTATTGGCTATACATCTAACTTAATCTGATTATAGACTTCAAAGATATATACTGTATATAATAATAATAATAATAAAAATGATATTTTGCACAAAAACTATAAGATTATATAACAATCAATATTTATATTTTTAGAAATATATCGGTATATAAATATGATAGTGAATATTGTTTTATTGAATAATAATAAATGCAAAATTAAAATATTGTAAACACAATAAAAATAAAACAATGTTTTAGTATTATTGTATAAAATATATAGTATACACAATATATAGTGTTAAAATAAGATCATTATTATCAAGTGAACCATAAGTTGCCCTAAAGTTATATGTTTTTACTATTTTATTTAACTATAAGACTGTATTTTCATTGTTTTCTTTTAAAAATAGTGAAACTCTTAGATGAACTTTACACTTATATTTAGATAGTTTTTAAAATGTCTTATATTTATAGATTAATCAATAAAAACAAATTTATTTGAATAAAAATCTTTTAATCCTATATACAGTATATATATATATAGATAATTATAATAGAGTTTCTAATTAAATAAAGCATAAAATGAAATAACAATTTAAAATGTAATTGAAATAACAATTATAATTTTATATGTTTAGATAGTTTTAGCAAAGATTTACAATTAATTTTTATTATAAAAATTATAATTGACTATCAAAACTAAAATCAATTGTCTTTAAGTTGTCATTATTTTCTATTGGAATTTGCTTATAATATTATTTACTTAAAAATATATAATATAAACTTTTTTAAAAATTTTAAACCAATACAAATACTATTAAATAATCACATTGATATTAACATTATAAACCAATTAAATCGGTTTAATATAACTTTTATGTATATGAATCATGAATTATGATATATTTGATAAAAATGAAACATATTTATTCAATATATGAAATGTGATAAATAAAACAAAAAATCTGTAAATTATTATATAGAGTATAAACATAATAAAAGTGTATTGATTTTGTAATATTCTGTTTATATCATTATTCTAAACATAAATAAAATTGCAATAATATGTATTCAAACATTTAACTATTTTAGTACATTTTAAAGGATATATTTTTAAAAACTTTATATAAATTACATAACTTTATATTAAATGAATTGATTAGTCATGTAATGTCAAAAACATTTATCTTAAGGATAAATATCGTTTGATTATTCGTAACTCAATATTTACTACCTTTTAATTCATTGATATTCATAACTTATTATATTAAATAAATGATTTCATGCAATAAAATTAAATTATTACTCAATAAGCCAACAAAATTCATATAATTTTATCTTATATTTCATATCTATTCATAATTGTCGACACATTTACTTATTTTATTACATGATATCAATACAATATTTAAATCTCTCTTATGTTTAACTAATACAGAGCAGTGAAAAAGTTTACACTTAAATATATATATAATTAATCTTTTTTTTTATTGAAACACTAAACTATCTAACAAAAAAAAATAGTTAAATTTATAAATATATTTTATAAAAAATTAATTTAGTTTTTAAAAGTACAATTACAGTGTTTAAATTAAATGAAAAACTAATGCAATGGTATATTACTAACTTAATAATTACTAAATAACTGATATATTGTCCTAATATAAAAAGATGAATATCTCATAAATTATATCGTGATTATAACGTTATGATTAAAACTATAACTAATAATACAGTGAATATTGAATATTAAAATCTATACATAGATTGAATTGAATGCAAAATTTCTCAGTCAATGATATTAATAATACGTTACTGTATTATACATACATTAGTTGACAGCATATGATAAGCTTTTAAACAGTAATCTATTCAATACTACATAACATATAGTAATATACATTCAATTGTATTATCAATACATTGAATCTCAATGTCTTGAGTTGTGTTTTATATTATCAATTAAGACATATTAATATCCATCAGATTATTAGATCCAATGATTCAATTAATACATAATAATGTATTGAATAATACCAATAGTCATAATATGATATTAATATATTGAAGATATACTGTATATATGATAGAGTAGTGACACCTATTGGTTGAGACATTGATTGACGAGTGACAAGAAAATGACAACAATTATTAGTGGAAGTGTTTGAGTGATCGGTGTTTTTAATTGCAATTATCGGTTGGTGTTTGTGGACAATGTCTGCCTGTATGGTCTCGAGTTGGTTGTATGAGAAGCGGCCACTAAAACGGGCCAAATTAGGTCCACCCGATTTCTACCCACAGGATCCCAAACAGAAAGAGGTTTGTTGTTTGCCATCCATTTAGTGATCAATTGATTGAATCTTAATTTAATTATATTTAGGATGAGTTGACGGCTGTGAATGTGAAGCAGGGCTTCAGCAACAACTCGTCGATCACTGAAGAGTACGGATCGGCGCGTAATACTAATATTACTCCCAATAAGTTTGGGTCGTATTTCAGTGCATTGTTGGCCAAAAAGTTGGAAATCAATACACTTCCCGAATGTAGTCGAAAAAGACAACAAATCAATGTTAAGGACAACATATGGTTCGTAACATCGAAGTCGAAGAACGCCGTCGACCAGTGGTTCAAGGATTTGGCGTCCAATACAAAGACATTGTCGCAGTTGTCTCGAAAAGTGCCAATTTTTAACAAGAAAGAGGAGATCTTCTCCAGTCTCTATGAATTCAAAATACCATTGTTTAAGGCCCAGTGGTTTATTAAGATGTCAGCCGCACATCACTTAGCCATCAGTGAGAGTAACAATAAGAAGTCAAAGCGTCAAATGCCGGATCAATCGCAAGAGTGGACGAATGCATTGTGTAAATTTCTTCGGGAACAATACCAGAAGATGTGTGAGTACTATCACGGAGTGCCACCAACTACGACAAACACAGCATCGGCTCCCCTTCCCGTGTCATTAACCAGCGATGAAATTCCCAAACAATGGCAATACTATACACAACTTACCAAACATATGTTTGACGACGGCTTACTCGACAAACATGACTTCCTGTCTTGGCTTTTGGATCTGCTCGAGAAAATCAAAACACCTGACGATACAGTTATCGCTATTGTCAATCCATTGATCATTCAATATGTTGATGAGTTTACCCAATCGGAACATTTGTCCCGCAAGTTAGCCTACCAGTGCGCTAAAAAATTGAACCAATTAGTGACAGATTATAATTTGGGACAAACTCTCGATGTGAATGTTGACACCAACGCCAACGTCAGTGGCGACGATCTTAAAAATACCGGCGATAAGAGTGGTAACAATATTACAAATAATTCTGTAATCGGATCCAATGCTAACACAAACACCAACAACAATGCGACTGCAAATGGACCCAATAGTATACAGACTGTGGGAACTACTGACCAAAATCAGAGCTCAAGCGCTCAGTTAATATCATGTTTCAATGAGTTGACTGATTGTTCTCATCATCGAAATGTCATATTAGGCCTTTCGGTGATATTACAGATCATAACACTGGACTGTCCGACAGCTCTGGTTTGGCTTAATTTGGGCGAAACGAAGACAGCTCTTAGCCTTCAGGGCTCACCACTGGACTATCTTCCATGTGAACCATCAAATCTACCGATGCCTACTCGTTCTCATAATCAATATCTTCGAAATGAATTGCAAATTGCCGAAGAACAGATCCGACAACGAAGCAAAATGTCCGAAATGAGGTGGTTTTGCGATCGGTGGCAACAAACGGCCGGCACTACTGTCAACAAACTATTGACTGTATTGGACTCATTGGACAGACATTGTTTTGATAAACTTGATGCCAACAACTCGATGGACACACTCTTCTCAAAGATATTTACGCCATTCAATAATAGCAATGCAACGAATGCCCCAATTACTGGGAATAGTCCCACAAACAATGCCACCACTACTAGTGAGACTACTACTCGAAATGTGACTGAAGTGTTAGCTGAAGATGAATCGATAGTTAAGTTGTTATGCGAGTGGGCTGTGACTACTAAAAGGACAGGTGAACACAGGGCTCTAGTAGTAGCTAAACTGTTAGAGAAGAGACAAACAGAGTTAATGATGGAAAAGGAAAGTGAAAATATTGAGGAAATGGATGTCGAATCAACACCTAATGTTAAGAGTGAAACCAATACCGATAGTACTTCGGAATCGCCAACAAAGAGTACTAATAAAACGAACAATACGTCGTTGACTGACTCGCAACTGTCGACACCAGTGTTTGAAAACATTTTGCTTCACTTTCTGGATACACAGTCACCCGTATATGAAGACAAAATCGGACTCAATAGTAGTGATAATAAGCAGGCGTTTTCAAACTTAATATTATTATTCGGTGAATTAATCCGAAGAGATGTTTTCTCGCATGACTTGTATATGTGTACACTTATATCGCGCGGACAGTTCTCCAACTCTCCAAACACGCCATTAGTGACACACAACTCGAATACTTCTAAGAGTTCGACTCTTGAGGAGCCGTCATCGTTGGCCGGTTTTGTGCCGAATCTTTCCGCTAACACTGATCTCTCGAATCACAATCATTTAGGTGGACTCGTGGCTAACGGTATCCAAAAGAGTACATCCAGTTCATCACTTCCAATGTTTGACCCATTGTCTAATAATTCTAATGCTGGACAATCGGATTTCAATATGACATCCATGGATGTGGATGACAATAATTTAGATGAAGATCTCGACAAATTACTGCAACACATTAAAGCTGGACAGCAAAACATGTCTGACCAGGCAGGTCTGTACAACACATTATCATTAAAAACATTATTTCCTATCAAATGATATCTTTTTTGCCTTCAATTGATTGATTTATTGCTATTTTGCCATTAATTATATTTTCATTATCACTCTTTTCTTCTTTATTTATGGCATGAAATATGAAAATACAAACCAATTGACAAAAAAAATAATGAAAATGTTTTGTAAAATACTCTCCTTTTGCATGATTTGAATCAAATGTGATACAAATATTTAAATGAAATGACAAAAACCTAATTATAATAAAGTAGTCAATCATAAGAAACAGCGCAAAGTTTTGTGGCGCTCTTTGGGATCCTTTGGTTTGTTTTCTTCAGTTTGCAATACAAGCAATAACTTTAACAGTCATTTCAATGGTTCTCAACTTAATTTGAGTTTAATTTTATCATTTTATTTATCACTCATCCGCTAAAACATATTTAAATTTATTGTGATGTTTGATAAACATTAAACATAATTTGTTTATAGACTTACTGCTACCCGATTCAGTTGAGTCCGACAAAGAGGACGACCCCACCGCCACTGGTGGGTTAGGCACTCACTCGACAACATTCCCGATGCCTGATATGCCGGCCAAAAATGCTACAAATAGACACCTGTTATATACAATGCATTTTCCATTACCTCAGGACGAGACGTTTGCTCACGACGTCAACCAACGACATGTCTTACTGTACGGCGTCGGCAAAGCTAAAGACGAGGCCAAACACGCCGTCAAAAAGATAACCAAAGAAATTACTAAATTGTTTAACAGAAAATCATCGATGGATATTAGCGACGGCGGAAAAGTTAAAAAGCATGCCATCAAAGAGGGATTCAATTTCGAGTCAGCCATTAATAAGTTTCAATCGCTATCGACTTTCGATCAACACGTTGTCACTAATTCATGCGCCACAGCAGCAGTTGAAATGTTAAATGGAGTGGCCATTGGAAGTGCTAATTATTTACCACTTATTGAGGCGATTGCTTTTCTCTTTGATTTAATGGAAATGGCACTTAATGTTTACGGATTGATTGAGTTTGTCATTCAAATGCTTAAAGAATTGGTTGAAGTGGACATTCAATTGCATCAAAAATGTCCAATTCTTGAGAGAACTTATTGTACATCAATTGGTCTCTATATTGTTGGTGTACTTTACAGATACCAAAGTTGTTTACTGGTATCACACGAGGAAACGTTAGCCGTATTTGAAGGACTTTGGCAATTGGTTCGACATGTGAAGAATCCGAGTGATTGTTCATCAGCTGAAAGATGTATACTTTTCTATTTATGTGATCTTCACTCATCCTATTATCACCTGAGACTCAACAAACATCACGACTCAAACAGCTTTGCGACGATGTTATCGGAGATAAAAAAGATGAATAATAACGGACCTCAACTAAGAGAGCATCCGGAGAGCAGTAGGACTGCTGGCACTGCAGGTCAGAGCACATCAATAATGGCTGAATATCTAAAGAATCCTAAACTTAAAGTCGAGTCCAGTCATATACGCAATCTTAATGACAACACATCGGATCGGTACTCATTTGTCTGCAGTGCCATCCAATGTATATCAATGGCCAATGATATCGACAAACTTAATGAGATGTCTGTTTTATGCGCTGAACTGACCGCTTCTTGTTCTCATTTAAGCACTGAATGGTTATGTGTTTTGAAAGCACTTTGTTGTTCATCAAATCCAAAGAGTTATTCCGAATTGTTGTCTCACGTGGAGGTCAGCGACCTATCAATTCATGACAATTTGGCTGTCTTTACGTCTATTTTGATCGCCAGACGTTGTTTCTCACTTAAAGACTTTATACTTCAAGTTGCAGTACCATCATTGTTGGCTCCATCATCGACTGAGGCTCCCGAAGATGCTGAACCCGGTGCCCGACTTACGTGTCATCTTTTGCTTTGTCTTTTTAAGACATCAGAGACTCCTCTTTCATCCAACACAATGACATCATTTGCCACATCATCGCGTTATTCACTTACAAGTCCTGGTCCTCTTGTATTGGCACAGACACCACCCAACCCCAGTCAGAAACCACATTACAATATCAAATACCCGTGCGATCGTTACCTATTAGCCGCAGCGCACAGTAGTTTAAGGATTGAAATTGTTATAACTGTTCTAAAGGCTATTCTTGTATTAGGTATTAAATGTTTTAATTTTTCATATATTATAAAATTATGATTTAATCCAATAGGAAATTCTGCTGAAAAACGAAATACAGAAGCTTTGAAAGCAAAAGGCGATGCAAAAGGAGAGATCAGTATCACTGATATCTTAGGACGAATAGATGGCGAAGAAGAATTGGGTGACTTTGGTATTATGTAAGTTAAATGGTTTGATTGAAAATAAGTTTTTATTTAATTTTATTATTAATTTTTAGGAATCCTTTGTCATCAAAGACTGGAATTATGGAAAAGGCAGGTCTGAGTGAAGCTGCAAAATACGCTTTAAGACAGATCTGTGGCCAGCAATGGGTTCACGACCGATGTTTACGTGGTTTTATGATTGATCCGGAAATACTAAATAAACTACTATTGGATCCAAAGTTAACGCACAAAGAGGCTCAGCATCTTTTAAATATGATTTGTCACCCGAAGTTGATTGCCATGCATTCACTTCAAGAGATGGATTCCGACCAAAAGATATCAATCGCCAAAATATTGCAAAATCTGGACGAGTGGTCCATTAGAGTCTCATGGCTTCAGTTACAACTCATGTACGCTCAGTCACAGAATGAAGTGAATACATGGTTAGAGAATGTGGCCAAAGCTACTGTCGATTACTTTCAAAACTCATCCGAAGAGATGGCCAAATATCCACACAATATTTCACAATTAACTTTGTTTAGTCCGAAAAGTGGTCCCAAACAAGCATTTTACAAACAATCCAATCGTATGAGTGATAGTCACAACCAAAGGGACAGAGTTTGGCTAATAGCACCTCTTATATCGAAATTGCCGACAACTGTTGAGGGAAAGATACTGAAAGTTGCCGCTAATGTACTCGAATCGGGCAATTGGATGACCAACGCAACCAATCAGTCATTTCAAGGCTCATCGTATTCATCAAAAAATAAAGACCGAAGTTTTCAACAGCAGAAGAACTCATCGAATAATTCATGCAATTCTAGCCCTCCGTCTCTATTAAGTCATTCGCCATTTCTATCATTGCTTTTAATGTGTTTGAAAGGACAGGACGACCAAAGGGAAAGTCTATTGAATTCACTTTATAATCAAATATCTCAGACTATTAACGATAAACTTTGCGACGATTTAAAAGCCAAACACTCGATCCAAGAGGGCCTACAATTGCGACTGAGTCTCGTCGGTGGTATGTTTGATATGATTCGACGATCGACATCATTGATCAACGACTGGGCTGTACTACTGATGCAATTAATTAGCTTTACTATCATTGATCCACAAATCAATAACGAAGTCTTTACAACCGTAACGGATATGTTAACAATACTGATGCACACGACTCAAGTATCGGACTCTTCTGAAGCGCGCGAAGAAACCAAAAAACATTATCAAAATCTGATTAAAAAACTTAAAAAAGAGCTAAACATTGATCGGATAACTTTGGGTATAAAAATGGTGCGACAATTGTTGCCAATTACCAAACAGAACTGTGAAGTAATCATTTGCGAACCAATGGGTTCACTCATTGACACTAAAGGCAACAAAATTGCAGGATTTGATTCAATCGATAAGAAACAGGGACTACAAGTAGCAGACAAGCAAAAGGTGTCGCCTTGGGATCTGATGGAAGGCCATAAAAACCCTTCACCTCTCAGTTGGACGTGGTTTGGGGCCATACGTATAGAACGAAAACCATTGAGAGGTGAAGAGAATATTTACCTTATGGCTCGTCACAGTCATACTATCCGAAAGCCTCTATCGTTTTACTTGGAACCGCCACCCATACCACCTGAAGATGTCGAACCTATACCGACACCAACAGTGGCACCGATACCTAACGAACGAATACCAATACCTCACCAAATGCCACATCAAATACCACACCAAATGTCACACCAAATGCCACATCAAATGCCGCCACAAATGATGCCGAACACCATTCCCAACCAAATAATGCCAAACATACCTATGGATGATCCCATGAGACGAACAGATATGATAATGGACATTGGGCCCCGAGCACCCACTCCTAAGAAAGTTAAAAACCCACGCCGTAGAAGAAATGCTAAGAATGCCAATGGAAACAGTGGCGCACAAACACCACCTATTCGTATGGCATCAGGAGGTTATGGCGAACCCCAATACGCTCCACCTCCTCCTCCTCCACAACAGACTCATCAAAATGGACCTCCGATGCAACAAAACTGGTACGGATCGCATCCACAACAGACCCAACCAGCAGCACCACCACCACCACAACAACAACAACAACAAATGCCTTCCCAAACACAGCAACAATATTTTTCTCAACAGCAAATGGTTAGTGCACAGCGTTTTCAAGATCCGGTGCGACCCGTGGGTCACTCTAAGGGTGCTCTAAAAGCGATGCTTAGCACAAGGCATCCACAACAGCAATTCAATGCCGGACCTAATATGCAATCAATGAATCAACCGATGATCAACCAAAACGTTGGTCAACAACCCATATATCAACAAAGACAACCAGTGATGTCCATCAGGGCTCAAATGAGAGGGCCATCAGCACCTCAAATGCAACAATTGAATTCATCTCAAAATCAAATATATCAAATGCAGAGTCAACCCAATCAAATGCCAAACCAATCGCAACCAATGCATCACATGAGTGTCCAACAGCAGAATAGTTACGGGGGACCACCAAACATGTCGTTTCCCAATCAAATACCTATGCAAGCCATGGAACAGACAGGAGGCCCGATGACTGGTGGACCACAAGGAGGTCATCCACCACCCAGTTATCAACATCCCAATCAGCACACACCGCAAAATGCAATGATGATGAGGCCACAGATGGTTAGTCAACCGCAACAAATGGTTAACCAACAAACCAATCAACAGTTTATGGCTCAAAGGTCTGTCAAATGTTTTGTTTTAATTCATTAGATTTTATTTTTTTAAATGTTATTCTTTTGTTATGAAATAATTTTCAGAAGTATTTTTTAAAATACTGTACTTTACTGTATATAAAATAAAATTACAAAACATTGTATTGATTTATTAATGAATTATCTATCAATTAATACTAAATATAGGTCTCAATATCAGACAATGCAAGCGGCGCCCAATGTTACGATGGGTCAGATGAGTCAACCGAATCAATTCAATCAAAACAACTCAATGCAACAAATGGTGTCCAACACGGGTGGCCCACACATGAATCAGTGGCAAACAAGTGGTCAACGACCTCAACAAATGGTCTCACAATTGCAGAGACAACTGTCCGGTAATAATCAACAACACAATACTTATCATCAAAATCAGTACTAAATAAATAACAATCTATTAATGTAATTAATTTTAAGTATAACGGTAATTAATTTTACCGAATAATAGTTTTTATTAATTTAAATTATGTGAAATTATTTTTTTGTCAATAGAGCTATTTTATAATATGAATTATAACTCTAATGGTGTTTTGTAATACAAAATTTGTATAATAATTGGCTAATAACTTATTGATTCAAAATATAGATAATATAAAGTCAATCAATTTATACAATTAATTGTTGACAATACTTTTTTTGGTAATTGCTTAATATTAATTTAACAAATTTGAAATGTACATTATCATAGAGTATAAAGAGTTTAAAATAATTATGTATTTAAAAATATTTAATTAGAAAAAATACATATTTACTGATATAAAAAATATTTATAATTTGAAGTTAATCTGTAATCACGTATTTTTCATTAAAAATAACTTTTCAATTTGTTTTGTAATTTGTTTGAAAAGATTGGATTTGTTATATCAACAATAAATAACTACAAATAACTACATTATAATCATAATATTGATTAACTGGTTTATCTTAAAGCATAATGAAAGGTAAGATTTATTGTGATTAATATATTTTAAATTTTTTTTAGCATTTTATGCTTTTAATTGATTAATTTAATTTTAAATAACGCTTTAGTTGTTGAGCCCTGAGTTAAAATAAAGTATTATATTAAGTACTTTATTAGCTCTATATTTGTGTCATTTATTTCAATTGATACTCAAGAGATTGAAAATATAATTTTACAGACAGTCCTACTGTTTATTATATTATTTAAATAGTATAACAAATAAAATGAAAAATGCAATAAATTACATAACTTTTATAATATTATATATATTAAACTTAGTTAAAAATTATTTGGGATACAGATTAGTATAGTTTAATCAAAAGGTTGAAAACAATATAAACTTAACATTTTGTAGGCAAATGTAAAAATTAAATTTAATTACATTTAAAAACAAACAAATGTTTGAAAACTTTGCTAACACATCATTATATACCATTTGTTTTATGGCTATTATTAGTATTATGGAAAGTTATTTAAAATTAAATTTTTAGTAAAACTAATTAAAGAAAACTTTTCAACAAATTTAGCAATAATTAAATCAATTATTTTTGTTTTTTGTTGTTGAGATAAATAAATACATGAAATTAAAATATATATAAAACACGAAATAAATTAAAAATTTAATTAATTTATATACAAAAATTTATATACAAAAAAACGTTTGTATATTTTTTAATTAAAAAATATATTTTTTGTGCCTCTTGTATATCAATTTAATCTTATACAATATTTTACTTTTCTAATAGCTTTTAAAAATATAATTTGCTTTTGAAAATTTGTTTGAAAATAATTGTTATTTTTATTGTCAATTTTATTAAATAATTGATATTTAATTTGATTCGATTTATTTAAGTATAAACTAATAAACTATTATAATGTGTAATCTGTAATATAAATGTCATTTAAAATCAATATAATCTAGAATTATAAAACTAAATATTATATAAAAATTTACAAATCATTGATATTTTAATAAATATACTTTATTTAAAATATTTAATAACAAGTAAATTTTTATTCTATAACTATTTTATCGATTTTAATAAGAGGTACGAATTTTTGAAATATTTTATTTAAAGTATTTTTATAATCTCTTTGTTGGAATAGAAAAAAGTATGTGTAAAAAATATTAGGAAGTTTCTAAAAATTTACAATATAAAACTCACTATGGGATATATCTAAAAGTTTATTTATTATAGTATTATATAACCTTTTAATAATAATAATAATAATAATTTAATTTGTATTAAAATTCAATTAATTTGTTTTGAATTTTTATTATATTTGAATTTGTTTTATTTATGAATCTTTCACAAAAATTGAGTACTAGTGCGTACTTTATACTAATATTATCAATTTTTCTGTATATCTATAAATGTCATATTATATTATAAAATAATATAAATTAAATATAAATATTTAATAAAAATTTATTATAAAAATATTTTCTAGAAATTTTCTTTACAAAATTTATTAGGAAATTATATTTCTCAGTTAGTTTCTTATTTGAATGCTAAAACACTGCAAACATATGTGAAAATTATTAAAATTAATTATCTATAAAATAATTTTAATATAAAACTAGTAAAATTTATCGATTAACTTGAAAATTGATTAAAAGATTAAATATAAATATTATTTTGAAACATTTATTAAAAATATTAGAAAATTTAAAAATTATTTTTTTAAATCATCATATCTTAATATTATTATTATTTACATATAAGGTATTTGCATATAATAAGTAAATATTTGTGTTAAAAATATTATACAACTTTTTTATATATCAATATTAAAAATAAATATAATTTGTATCAAATTTATATTTTAACTTTTTAAAAACATATTTTTTATTTATTGTTAAGAGTTGTAATAATTTTAGAAATTAGTAATAAAATAGTTTTATAATTTAAGTATTTTGTATTATATAAAATATAATTTGCAAAGTATTTTATTAGTCAGTAAAACAAACAATTTAAACCAATATTTAATGTTTTGCACTGTGTATTGTGTGTTGTGTATTGCGTAACATTTATTATTTAATATTAGGATTTTTATGTGCAAAACAATAGAAAACTGCAAATCTTATCTTAAATGAAATGCCATACATTATACATACATACATATAATTTATATATAGGGGGAAAGGGGTATGTAAAAGGATGCCATAATGGGCACACACTTAACATTTTATATATGATATGATAGTGAGAATAATACATTGAATGTGTTGGCAACAGCAATGGTAATGTTGGTAATGATATATCCAAATGTTATATTTGCTGAGAAAATTGTTAAACGAAATGTCTCCCAGTGCTAACATAATGATACCATTTTTTTGAATAAAGAGCTTTCAAACAAAATGATGAATCGCATCAATAGCACCGGTATCTCATATAATATCACTAATACTTTTTTTTCTCTGGAGCTCTCAATACTCATATTCACAGTTACTTATGTTTAATACATACACATATATTCATATATAAATATATAACATTTATATGTTTTACTGTATAACAATAGAAATAGTTTTCTATGATTTGCAACATTTATTTGCCTATTAAAGCATTACAAGAATATTCTGTATAGATTTATAACTAATAAATAAATAGCATTGAAATACAGTGAGAAATAGATAGCCAACTGGTTTTGTATTCAATGTTTTTTATATCAAGTATTATAATATTAATATTAATAGTTTGAAAAGAAAGTTGTTTTACTTCAAGTGGTAGTATTATCTTTGCACAAGTAATATGTCTAATAATATATATATATTGTGACCATTAATGAGTTGTAAAAATTATTTATTTATCATTTAATATAATACTTGAAATTTTTATTTAATTGTTAGTTTATGTAATATTTGATTGTAGCAAATACAATATTATACAGTAATTTGATAGTATGTAAATTTATATTTATTTATTTATGGGTTTATATATTTTAACATTTATAACTGTTATGAAAATTAGTATTATTATTATTGAAATAATATACTTATATAATTCAAAAAGATTTATTTATTATATATACAATAATTATATATTTCCATTTATAAAAATAGATATAACTTTAGTATACAGCAATTTTTGAATTTTATTTTATTTATTAAATACCAGAAATACATAAAAATTTAGTCAAAATATAAATGTGTTTATTTCTTGTCATAATCACGCCGTCAATAAATTTAAGATTTAAAAAAATTATATAACTATTATATATTATATTTAATAAATATTATTATTTTACCTAATTTTTATTGTCGAAAATTTTTTTAAATTACAAGAAATAATATTATATTATTATTAATTACTAATTACTAATTTGTTTTAATGATAATTAAACTAAATTAAAATATCAATTTCTAATTTGAACAAATAATTATGTACTTTATATTAGTTGACTATATTTTTTGGTATATTAAGTAAATTAAAATGTCACAAACACACAGTCATATGCACTAATAAAATATAGTATCAAATTAGGTTATATTCACAAAATCAACTGTTAATTAATAATTATAAATATAATTCTAAATTCAAACATTTATTCTAAAATATATAACTTAATATTTATTCTTACATTTATATAAAATGTATTTATGTTTTTAAATTTATGATTTATTTATAATATTAAAAAAATTTAAATTTAATAACTACTGACTTATTGTACAATAAAATATTATAAGTTTGAGTAATTATTACTATTTATTGTATAATAACTCAGATAACATAAACAATCAAAGTTTTGTAATAATCGTATAAATTTTTTGAATTTAGTTATTTAAAAATATAAATTCAAAATATGAATTGAGTTTATACGTTATATATATATAACAATTTTATAAAATGATTTATACAAAAAAAAATCTTTAAAATAATGTCCTAAAAAATATAAAATTCTAAATTGAATTGAATTAAATTGAGTTCACAACATACTTACTTACAGTACATATATATACATATATTACACAATCAACTTATTTGACTGATAGTGGTCATCACTACCACCAATACCTATCAGTTCCTATATATTAATGGTAAGTCACGTAAATGAGTTTTGAATTGAATTTACACTTTTGCTGAAAATAAGTTTATAGAATAAGCAAAATAAGAAATTTTATGAAAAATAGTCACAATTTTCAAAAATATGTTTATCTAAATCTATGAAAAGAAGTTTGCATTTAATATAAAAGTTTTTTTTTTAGATTTCCATAATAACAACCCATTACTTACAACCCATTAATATGTAGTCATTCATACATTTGTCAAATAAGTAAATTAAAAGTAGTAATGTTGTAGATATTAATAAAGTGAATAATATTATAAGTTGTCATTTTTATAATTAATAATTATATGAAGTTGACTAACATTCAAATAAACATATTTCTGAAAATTCTGATACTTTTATATAATTTAATAGTAAAACACAATACCATAATATATATATATATAATCTTATATTTGATTATATTTATATGTCTAATAAAAATATCATTATATTTTAAATTAGTACCTCTATTTATA